TCAAGGAAACGATCAACACTAACCGATCAAAACTCATCATCAAAAAGACTAAAGAACAGTCATTACGTAACCCTACAGTACTGGTTACTAAATTTAACCCTTGCGTTAAAGGACTGAAAAAACGAATTCTGAAATATTGGAACACCATTCTTAGAAATCCAGAATGCAAAACTTTATTTAATTCTCAACCAATCATTGCTTACAGCAAACACAATAATATAGGTGACGAGATAATCCGGTCTCACCTAAAACAAACACCATGATTTATGTCCGTGACCCCTGAAGAGGCTTCTTAATAGCCGAAACACTCTACAACTACTTGCATAATTCAAATCAGATATTAATCTGCTCTATGCAAAAAATCATATCTACTAAAAGTGTGGTTTGGAGTGTCGGGTCCTAATAAATCTCTTACAAGTTTGGTTGATTGATGTCGCTAATTTTCACACAAATGTTATAAATTGGTATCGATTTTTAGTGATTTTTTGGGGACATATAATTAAGTCATGGAGCAGCAAAATCTTCGACGTCACAGGCATTATTAAAAAAAATGTGTGATTGAGCTTTCATTTTCTCAACATTCTCTCAAGCATGCTAAGAGTACAGTTTTAGTTACCTTATCTACTCAACATCCAGACACCATTTCTTGTCAAGCTTTAAATTGATTAAACAAGTAAAGAATATTCTTTTTTTGTTTTAAAACGAAAAAATTCAGGTATTTATGAGATATAGTATGATACCGGTGACTCTCAATCACGTTCTTTACAAATCGGATAAAGTTTTCGTCGATAATCGTCCTCCCGTCCTCCCGTATAGCCTCTTTACAGAGGTCTAACGGTCTAAGATTTCAATTTGCTATTTGTGGACGAATGTTAACTACATGTTTAATTATGCATATTTTGGATATATGTTGGCGATATCTCGAGCATCATACGCAATTTAACAAAAGTGTGGTGCGCCGTCAATTCAGGAGTCGTCATTTTCACAGTCGTTTCACGGGAATCGCATCGGAGGATAAATCACTATATTTCTGTTAGTACTCCAAATATCATGTCAGAAATCTAAATACATAATAATAGAACAATTTAAAGAAGCATTCGAGAAAATTGTCGAAAAATATCGCAAATTATAGAAATATAATGAGTTAAATTTTGGATTCCGCATGCTTTTGCTTCAATTTTTTTGTCGTGCTCCGTACGTCTCCATCAGCGATATCAACATACCGATTATTTTCGTATAATTTTTTTTTAATGCAGAAAATTTGCCCAAAATTTATTGGAATCATTAAGATACATATTTCTTTGAAATTTCATAACTGTATGACGTCTGTAAGAGTAAATAATAGCACAGTCCGCATAATTTTGAACGGCCCGCGTATGTATTCCGGTTTATTCAATGCGCAAGCTTATGTCCTACTTCGAACGAATTATCTTAAAAGAAGTCCAGGCTACTGACAAATAGGCTGATGATACAAAGGTTCCAACAATCTCGGTTGAAGTCAATATTCTAAAATTCTGTGATTGATAGGTATAAATATTTATTTGCAAATACCATCTGTCATGACAGTTGTTGAGGGACATTTTTTTCAGAAAAAAATTAAGGCTTTTTTAACATTGAATTGCCTACGAACCTCTCTGTTTACCAGCTCTTCTTAAGAGACCCATGGTATATATGAACGGTCAATATGGATACTCACTCCAGACGTCCGTATTTGTTCTTCTTACAATGTGTAAATCTTTAATGAAAATTCGAGTACAATTACTTTTAGTTCATTTCACTTTCCACTTTCATTTTCAGTTTATATTGAATTAAGTATACACAATCAAATATATGTCATCCGGAAGTTCTATACAAGACATCTTGCTAATAACGTTGAACAATTTTAAGCCCTTACAGTAACTTTACTCATCAATTTTTCGATTTGGGATGTTGTTTCGTGAACTTAATTTTTAGCATATTTTTTTTTTATTTCAACAGGTCTGGTACAATCACTAACTTTAGCCATGTGGCTTAAATTACCTAGACATACCTTTACTTTCCTATCTGAGGTAGCTTTAGTTAGCAACCAAATCAAACTTTTTTTCTTGAATCAACATTTTTCTCTGGATGTACACAAAATCGCACATTGATGCAGTGATAATTGTCAACCCTGACCTCATCTGATATCAATTCATGAAAAGGTTACTCTTGAAGATGGGTCTTTTTTGCGCAATTGCAGTCAGAGTATGAAATGTTTTGGGCTATATACAACAGTTAATTTGTGAATAAACAGTTACTTCTTGAATGCACTAACAAATGAGATCAGTTCTGGTTAACATGATATTGGATTGGTAATTATTCAAGAGAATGTTAAGTGATCATACTTAACAATGCCTCACCTAACACACCGGTGGACAGTTACTCAAACAATAAAAATACATTTTTTTGCGTTAAAGTCTTAAAATGCAGCAATGCATAATCTATATTTATTTTGGATTGATTTTTTAAACACACCTAGTATGAATATTTGTTGCCAGTTATTTGCGAGTTTATTTGTCTATATTAAACAAAATCAAATTTCTGAAAATTTGGATTGAAATAACTAAATAAAGCTACCAGGAGTAGGTAATAAATGCAAAGGTAGGTAATTCTACCTACAAAACTAAATGTACTATATATACTCGACCTGTCCAACAAAAAAGTAATTATATCACCAAAACGATTGTTTATTCATTCGAATGAAGACTGAATTGATTTTATATTTTGTAAAGATGCAGACGAAATGACGAACACAGAAGATATTTGTTTCAAATTACTACTAGTATTTTAACTAAAGAGCTTTATCCTGATTAGTTATAAATTAAGTAAGTAGTATTTTTTTTTTATTTTATTCGTAAGTTATACCAATCCAATAAAGTTAAAGTAAGCTGTTATGATTAAAAACACGCTTATATTGAATTAATATTCATGTCAAATACAATATTAATATTCACTAACAAAGTAAACACTTTGAATTCATTTTTTAACGTTTATGGGAGGACAAAATTTCCCGCAAAACCGTAACCATCAGCAATCCGATGACCATAAACAATAAGTCCAAATTGTGATGCATCAGATGTTGACAAAACAATAGTTCCACTTTGGACTTTTAAGGTACGAACACTGAACGATTTTGCTAATGTCAATGCGCTCTGATATACAACGGTGTAATGATATACAGAAAATCCGTTAATGCGTAGGTTGTTCAGAGATTGCGATGGAACAATCAAGCAGATAAAATTTTCTGCATATCCTGCTGGTACAGCTACCTTGTAGTAATCGAGATACTGGTGGATTCCTGGTACGACCGTCATGTACGGATGATAATTACTGGACTTATTACCCATTCCGAAAGCAGTAACAAGGACAGGTTGATCTGATTCTATAACTGTTGTCACATTTGAAGTTACTTCAATATTCTTGTATCCTTTTTCATTTAAATGAAAGTTTGAAACGCTGCTTCCAACACTTGAGTTAACTGAACTACCATTCTCACTAAGTACTTGAATTAAAGTCCCGTCATTGGTGTAGAAAGGAGGTATAATATATTTAGTATCTATTTCGGTTGTCGGAGGAAGTTGTGTTACCATGTGACTGCAACCATATTTCAAACGCTGACATCTATTTCCAGAGAAAACTGTGACAGGTTTGTTGGACGTTATGAAGGAGCCGGAGAGATCTGTGGTATGCGCAATTTGTAATGTATCAAATCTTTCTAACATCACGTTGAAAACATCTCCGTCTCTGTATGATTTACCCTGTATAGTGAGAGGAGTGTTGTCCTTAAATTTGAATGTTATCTCTACAAATGTCCTGTTATAGAGTGCACCTATAGCAAACTGACTATAGTAATAACTTTCCGTAGTATATGGGTCAGTTGAAGAAATAATATATTTGTTCGAGAGTTTCCTTGTTGGAATTATAAGTGTCCCATCATTTGTGTCCATACCAAAACGATCAAAGATTGTTATAGATGATAATTCAGAGGTCTGTAGTATTAAACCTTTAGGTTCAACAGTAAAATATTCACAAACAAGGTCTATAGGGAGACCTAGCGTTAAGCTGGACGTAAAATTAATAACCGATTTAATGTTTGCATTCAAACGAGGAGATGTAAATATTTTAATTGTTGTTTCATTGTCTGTCGTTATGTAAACACTCAAGTTCCCCATCGCTAAAAGATGATTTTTCATAAATAAGATCAGAAACTCCTCACCTCTACTACCTGCAATTCAAATTTGTAAGAATGTAAAATACAGGTAGGTGATCATGTGCTTGATTGAATGTTAAAAATGTAGAATGATTTACCCATTGATCTTGGTACTTGAGTACTTGATGGTGTAAGTGTTGTTGTCGATACCAATAAGGAACCTGGCGTGGAAGGAGGATGGGTCATATCACCGCCTACACATGAGAACATTGCATGAATTATTTTATTTTATTATTCACATACTACCTTCAATTCATTTCAATTTCTACTTTTTTTTAAATTCAATTTTATTAAAAAGTCGAGAGCTGTCTTCTATCTATTAAAAAGTGCTTTGGTCATGCATGTATGTCTGGTCGTTCACACACAAAATTAAATACGACTTCCATATGTCACAATACTCTCCAGAGTAATATTTGTTGCTTGCATTCATAATACGAATTGTATTGTATTCCTGCTTAACCATGATAAAAACAATTAAGTCTGCACTATTTAAACATTGCATTGGATATTGATATAATTTATCACAGTCCTGTTGTTTTCTGAAGAAATATTTTCCTATTATATGTATATAATCTCTTTTAATGCTTTGCTCCCCCATTTAGGCCCGATCCAACCATCAGGGCCATGATATGAAATTAGGAAAATTGATGTACCTCTCTTATTAGAATATACAAATATTGTAGTTCTAAAGACGCTTTGAGGGTTTCGCTATAAAGGATAATGTACCATACCCCTCCCCCTCCCTGTGAATTGACAAAAACTAAATATCCAAATTTTACTCCATGTTTTGCATGTACTTAATCACTGATGTTTGTATCTTAATTGAATAGTACTTTTACTAAAAACAGAAACGTAATTTGGAAGATATAAATCTCTTTTCCGAGGAGGAGTAACAAGTTTACATCTGAATCCCATTACATTCTAAACCGCTTCATTTTATAAAGCCCTTAAAATACTGTTAATCACGAGGGTTTGAATTTCGCTATGTTTGCGATTTATCATTTTTCCGCGAAATTAAACCCGTCAGGAATGTCAGGATTAGTTCTTAAAAGCGTTTTTTTTAATTTTATTCGAAATTTTTAATTTATATCTTGCAGCGTGAAAATAAAACTATCGCAATTGGCACTTTTTCAGATTTTGAAAATTAAAAGGACTTACAGTATAAAAACTAAAAAAAAATACATTTTTCGTTTGACCAGTTGCTGTAATTATTGATATCTACTTATATATTCAAGGGGGAAATTTTTCTTACTGCGCTAAAATGTTAAAATTGTGATTAAAACATTGTCAAATATAGCTTGCTTTCCCAATAATAAACAGATCGATGATATATTTTTTTCTAACGCAAGAATCAATTCATATGATAATTGAGGTACTGGCAATAACTTCCGACTGACCAATCAGCTAAATGAGTTAATTGCATAACAATCGAGTACTCAAAAATACTGAGAATGTATACTTTGAAAAAAAAGGCATTAAAACTTGCTTTCCTAGAAATAGAGTCAAATGCTGACTGACTTTTTTGATTCTAATTGTTAGTCAAATATTTATACACTGAATTGACGACGGATTTTTCCGATATTTCACGATAATGACAAGGAGCACACGGCGGTAATGACCGGTCGGAAGGGCATGCTCACTCCTCCATCCATGGCACCTGATCCCACCTCTGATATTTTGGAGGTCCGTGTTTTCAATTCTCCTGTTTTGAATATTGCTCGTCATTTTCACGTTTCAGATTACGGTTCTCGGTAAATGAGTAAATGGGTAGATTCCTTGGACGTGCATATCTTTTTATTGAACTAGGACATGCCTATTCTCTTTTCATAAAAGAACATTTTTTTTCAAACCAGGCCGCATTCTGTTGTCAGGAGGTCAAAAAATAAGAAAATAATGGAGCAATCCTAACAAATACATCTATCGGAACTATTGAATCGATTCAAAAGGCGTTGTATTCATTAACTCTTTTTTGAAAACTATCAAAATAGTTGTAGAATAAATTAAAGAGCCATTCTCTGTAATGACTTGAATTTTTATATAGGAGCTGTGGCACGCATAGTCTCAGAATTTCTCCAAACTCTCTATGATAAAAGTCATTGATACCCTAAACTGAAATCAGGCAAAAATTGGTTGCTATGTTTTATAGTTACCATGGCAACATGTCTTAAAGTTCGGAAAATGGCATTTTTAACATGTTTAGAGCCCCACAGTTAACATTTGCGGCAAAGCAAACAATTGGCAGTGACTGTTTCCAAAAGTTGAAGGTCAGATGTCTCAAATGCATGATGAACATGTTTGGTAAATCAACTATTACATACGTTACTATGGTAACAAAGTATTCAAAAGTAAAAAAAAAATTCATTAAATTTTATAAAGTCATACACGTAAAAATAGAAAGCAATTATAGGATGAAATGTGACCAAATAATAGAAAAAAAAAGCCTTGAAACATATACCAAGAACAAAATATGATATTTCATTTTGGTTGGCAATGGTTGCCAAGGTTTTTATACCACAGGGAGCCTTCAAAGTAACACTCTGTATGTTTAAATCTGATCCTATCTTTAAAAAAAGCACATTTCCTCATAACTAATGATCAATTTTATAAGATATTGGTGTGCTCCAAGTTTTCCCATTTGAAAATATTCAGATTAGATTCTTTAAATAGAGCGTTGCTATGGAAATAAGCAGAAAAAATATGCTTAAAAACCTAAAAAAATATTTTCTTTCCTTGGATACGTACCCTTAAATGTAGATTCCCAAAACTTTTATGATTGATAATTATAAACAGCTAACTTGACTTTTAATTTTGACTGTCATCCAATCTCTAAGTGGATGCAAGAAGTTGGCACACAGGGTTTAATATTGATATAAAGTTCACAAAATCGAACATTTTCCCTTCTTGGTAACCATAGCAACAGTGTTGTTTTATTCATCAAATTTAATCAATATTTGATATTCAACTTCATTTCTAACAGATAAGTACTTTTCAAGCTGATTCCTTTAATTTGTTTCTTGATTAAACGGCAATTTAATTCTTAATGCAGCGAAAAATAATGCACTTTTAAGCACTGGTACTTTGTTTCCATGGTAACACTGCAAAGTAGCATTTATACCCAATTTTTCTTATGGTTTTGGTATTGCAAGGTCCTAAGGATGCATATTTGCCAATCTTGAATTTTCATGTTTTTCCTCGAGACAGTAGCATTATCCCAATCTTAGTTACTAGTTTTGCATGGTTACACTGTGTTACCTTGGCAACCATAAAAGTTATTTATAGAATTATATTGCTTTTACTTATATACTCAAACATTTTCATTGTTTTTATTAAGTCGTTGATTGAGTTTGAGCATGTAACACCTACCATTAGTGAATACGGAGTTATTTTCAGCATATTTCACCATTTTAAATGTATTCCAAATGTACCCTTGGTTACCACTTACTTAGAGATATATTCTAAACAGTTTCTTTACAGTTTAAGTGACATCAAGGTGTCATGTTTTTGTGAGAATGGTTTGTATGCTTTTTCTGGTTTTTATTAAGCCACGGTCAAGATTTAAAGTGGCTGAAAATCTCGATTTTTCATACTTTTCTGGCTGTTACCATAGCAACCGAGACACATAGCAACGAAATTTTGTTTGACATTTGTTTCTGGTGTCAAGTACTAAGCATGGGTGAAGATTCATCAAATTCGGTGACTATGTGTGGCAACGAAGTTTAAGTGGTTACAGAGAATGGCTATTAATTTGCTGGATAAAAAGGGGGCGGCATACATTAGTCTTTACACATCACCCTTTATCTTTTAGGCTCATCTTGTTACCAGAGAACATCATGTGAACAATTCCGTATCTTCTCAATGTTCGGAAGCATTCACATAAAACGTTTTTCTGACTTAGGACTTCTTGATAGGACTTAAATATAATTGTCCAATTATCCAATGACTCTTGCCAATTCTTGATTATCATACTTTGAAAAACTTGACAAACTTAAAAATTCCCTTCATATAACATGTATAACGATACTTTGCTTTAAGTTTGAATGAAATTATAGAGAGATAGGCCAAGTAGTTTACGATGACGACGGCAACAACGAAAACGACAGACAAAGGAAAATTATTGATCATAAAAGCTCACTTGATCCCTTGGTTCAGATATGCTATCGACTAAATATAGCAGGACAGAAACGTTAAAATGAAAATACCATAACACTGAATTCTACACTGTGATTTTATCACATAGATGGTAATAATAGAACAGATATATTCCTTAATTCGGTAAAGTAATGGCTTATTTTGTTAAGAAAAAAATATTTTCATCCATTCTACTTTTGCAAATTAAGACTTGAAGCAGATTATAAATCTGCAGTATTTATTGACTACCATTATTTTATGTATTTCAGTAGAACTTTTCCACTGCAGTGTATATCAAATGCTTTAGTTCCTTGATGCTTACATTCATCATTACATAAATCAGCCAGACAGCATTTAGAACAGCTTTGAAGATTTCGTTTTCCAAATACATCCACATCCGATGTGCAAGCCTAAAATAAAATACTTATCCTGTTAACAAAGTTGATACTGAAATTTTTATTGAAATAAGGTCATTCGTAACGGAGATATACTACTATATTGCTACACTTCCATAAGACCAGATAAATCAATGACAAAGTAGGTTCGTGCCCTGATAAAGTATTTAGATAAGAAACATCGATAATATGCAAGCTTCGTCGCAAGCTACCAGTATATCAGTACGCAAAATTCTCATACAAAGTACAGCTTCAGTAGAATTTTAATCATTGTGCATTGAAGTTTGCCTATTTTAAGTAAGTTAATGGTAAATTTGCTACTTCCATCATTTGTTTGCTAATGATAAAATAAATGATTCTGACAATGCTGTACACTAAACACGCAAAATGCTAATCCAGATGCTAGATGGATGCTGATACTTATTTTCCTTGTGCAAGTTTTAAATGCGAAGTCTGATTTGTTTTAAAATTAGTTGCTTTTACTTGAATTAATGAAATCTTCAAATTAGAAAAAAATAGTCGTACGTAAACAATTTGATAAAACAAAAAGTCTCATTTAAAGTCATCATTTCGTAAGTTATATGGTCGATACAATGACCTTGTCAGCAAATACAGTCTATCTTTTAGTCAAATGCTCATAGATATTTTTATACAAATTGTTAGTCCATTATTTAAACACTGAATTGACGCCTGAATTTTCCGTTATTTCCCGATCATGATAAAGAGCACAGCTCAGGTTTGACCGGTCGGCGGGGGATGCTTACTCCTCTTTGGCACCTGATCCCACCTCTGTTGTTTCAGAGGTCCGTGTTTGCTCTGCTCCTATTTTGTATTGGTTTATGGACTTTGATATAAAAGATTGTTCGTTATCTTCATATCCTTCATGTATAAGAGATTGGCCCTATGTATGGAAATCATACTTTTCCACTTAAAGTATGGCAAAGGATATTGGAATAAAATTAAAACAAGTAATTATCACCCTGTGACATAATAAACAAATAAAGTATACGAAATATAATATGTAGAAGTCAAAAAGTGTTCCAGCTCAAAAGTCCATTAAATAATACAAAATAGGAGCAGAGAAAAAACACGAACCTCCAAAATAACAAAAGTGGGATCAGGTGCCATGGAGGAGTCAGCTGTATGCTTCCTGTCATGTTTGGAAAATAACGTTAAAACCCATTGATATTTCAGTGTGTAAATTAATGACCTAACAATTTGTATGCAAAACGTCAGTCAACAATTTTATCTGCTGAAAAGGTGATTGTATATAAATGTGCCATACAACTTTAAACATTTTGAGTTTAAACGAGACTGCTTATATTTTGGTTTCATCAATTTGTTTGTCAATAATAAACCTCATTTTAGAAATTGTACCTTCCTACAAACATATATTCATACAGCATTAATACAGCATGCTTGTTTGTTATTCTAAGACATAAAAAGAATAATAATCCTTACATGTTTGTTGATGCAACTTGACGTGAAGAGGACGTCTCCAAATTCAACTTCCTTTTGAAGATAGCACACCTTTAACATTATAATTATTTAAATTAGAAACTCATTTACGACATTAATGTATAGGTCACAAGGTTATTGGCCTTGGTGTTATTTGAAAGAAATTAATTAGTGAATATGCATAATATATATGAAGTGTTTATATAGAATATAGGTCACAGTCATGGTCAGAAGGTCATTGATTTTGATGTCATTTGAATTAGCTTAATAAGTGGAGTATGCATACTAAAGATGAAGTCTCTATCTGTCACGGTTCAAAAGTTATGGCGAAGGTTAAAGTTGACAACAGTCAGAAAGACAAACAGATAAACAGACAGACAGGACCTGTCTATCGATCCGGGCGCATAATAAAAATCACTATGAGAGCAAAATGAATTTAAAGCAGTAAAGTACATAGTTATCTGAAGCTCAAATTTATGTAAGAACATTGCAATGTGCAATTCATCAATGTATCTACCTGGTTCATGTCGCAAACTTTTATTTTATCACATAGCATAGGGTCGGATACCTGTTGGCAGTCAAAACAGGCAGGTCCACGGGTCATTGGATATCCTGCAATTTTAAACTGTGTTTATATTATGCTATTAGTAAATTTGTTTTTAAATTAATGTATAGGAGGGAGTAATACCTGGTTGTCCACATCCCTGGTTGTTACACAGATGAGAGGTACAGCATTCCATACACTGAGAATGGTGATAATGTGGATCCACGCCGTGCAGGCTCTTCAGTTTATCAGGGCGGACACGTTTCGTTCGACATTTCTTTATTATAAGAAGTTTTCGATAAATTAAATAATAAACATATTTAATTTCTTGAAGTAAATGCTGTATTTCTTTCAAATCGTTATTCTCTGTATCTATTACTTATTTCTGCAAATAAATGACCTACGATGGTGTTTGATACAATAATATCTTAAAAACTAATATTTCTTAGTAGATAAGGATAAAGAAGCGTCCAAAACAGTCTTAAGACCATCATTTATGAAATTAGTATACTAGTAAACTTTGATATACATGTAGTTTCGGCATAACTTAACAAAAAGAGAGTAATGATAACCTGTGAAGTAGCACATCCTGTGTCATACACAACCGCACCATTCTCAGTGGTGTGAGACTCCGTAAAACATACCTGTGAAATAAATGTTTTAATTTTATCATCTTGATTGGTAGAAGAAATATTCTTAATGATAAAACTGTGTCCAATCTTAATTTGTGCAAGTGACTATCAAAATAAAATTAAGGAGGTGTTTGAAGGATCCTGCTAAGAGAATGTTTATAATATAAATTCAGTAATATTTCATGTTTGAGGGCCGGGTTTATTTTTTCATATTAATCCTTGCACTTGATTCAAAAGGACATATATCTACCATCTTAGAAAACTTGTTCTGTCGCTTTAGACGTAAAATATTGCTCAAAACTGTTTATCATGTATTTTGTCCCGTGTTTCGTATTTAACAACAAATACAATGCACCCGGTAATATTTGAATATTTTAAGAAAAAAACAAGTTTTCATGGGCAGAAGGTTATCCAGTAATATCCATTGGTCTGTATTTTAGGCCTTATACATGTACCTATTCCATTTTTTTTTATGAAAAAGCAACTATGTCTTCCAACAATCTATTGGAATGCCAATGAGTACCAATTACTCTCCGTTATTTGCAGACCTATTTTTGTATTCATATGAAGCAAAATTTATGCTAAATTCCATGCATGAAAAGAAGAAACACTTGCTTTGGCCTTGAATTCGACATTTAGATATATCGACGACGTATTGTCAATTAACAATGGTAATTTCCATTCCTGCATCGATACGATATATCCTGGTGAGCTTGAGATAAAGATAACACAGAATCTGACACTTCTGTTTCATACTTGGATATTTTACTTGAAAAAGACGCTAATGGTAATCTAACAACCAAACTATATGATAAACTTGATGACTTTAACTTTTCTATCGTCAACTTCCCTTACTTATGCACCAATATGCGCAGTACCTTAATCACCTGCATACGGGGTTTATATCTCTCAGATGATTCAATACACAAGAGCATGTTCTTCGTATGAACAATTTTAAAAAGAGGTAAATTACTGACAAACAAGTTGATGAAACAAGAGTATTAGCAGTCTAGTTTAAAGTCATCACTGCGTAAGTTGTATGGTCGATACAATAACCTTATCAGCAAATACAATATATAATTGAGTCAAATGCTGACTGTCGTTTTTTTTACTAATTGTTATTCCATTTTATATATACTGTAAATCACATTTTATTCGCAAGAACTTTATTTTCGCGTAATTACGCGAGACAGTGCACTCGCCAAAATTTAATTCTCGCGTATAATAGTATTTCTTAAGAATAAATAGAGCAATAACCACAAATCGCGAAAATTTTGTCTCGCTAAAATAAGATGTCGCGAAAATTTAGTGATCTACAGTACACTGAATTGACGACACTTTTCCCGTTATTTCCCGATATTGACAAGGAGCACACGGCGGATGTGACCTGTCTGCAGGGGATGCTCACTACCCCATGCCAACTGATCCCTCCTCTGATGTTTTGAAGGTACGTGTTTGCTCTGCTCAAGATTTGAATTGTTTGTCTGTTCGTTATCTCCATATATTTCATGTAAAGATTGTTTTAGATCATTGTCTGCTATGTTCTCAAAGACGCTTACAAATATATTAGTTTCACTATGTGGTCAATCGAGTGGCTAACATGATAATTTGCGTAACTACAGAAGGTGCTTATATATAAAATTATCATGCCAGCAAAAACCCTGATAGTTATCCCGCATATTTACATGCTTTTGATTCCACAAATCCATGTGCTCTAAGCCTCGCTTCTGTCTATATTTGTCACGTCCCTGATTTTTTTTAACCGCGCCTATCGATGAACAAGTAACTTTATGTAGAAATAAAGTACATTAATTTTCCTATTTTGTAATTTTATCTCGGACAAAGAAACTATAAACGTTAATATTTTAAAACACGTCTTTTTTCCAATTTATTATTTTTTCTAAATTTGCATATTGGTCTAATCTAAACGATTTCATTTTATTCCTATCGATTTGTCGAAGACAGAATTAAGTAAAGTGTATTTATTTACCCAGAGTATCTGCAGTTGCATTAAAATCACTAAGCATTCATAGGCAGCCAGGAATCCCAGTTGGAGGCAGAAATGACATTTTTGACATTGGTTTGTGATATAGTACCCTTGTGAGAAACAACATAGGCCTACCTCCCCTTCGCTGCATTTTCTGACCGTGTGACAATGTCTTGGAGAAACAGAATCAGTACAGGACAAACAATACAGAGCAGCTGAAAAAGACAAAACTCGTATATGAAATATATTGCATTATACATACTTTGTCGCCAAACTGTGAGACCCAATTTAGGACCAAAACATTTTAAACTTGGTTTGTTACACATGTATCAACTTATTTTGTTGATAAAAGGTAATAATCAATTATATTCAGGCAAATAGTTTTCCTGCCAGATCTGAAAAATGTGCAAATTTTAAGATAACGGACTGCAATCCTTTTTCATACATTTGACAGGGACAACCAATTATTTTCTTTTCATTTGTGACAAAATACCACATCGGTCCATTTATTCACAGACAAAATACTGGGTTTTTTTCAGATTACCTAAAAAAAACCAATAAGGTCATTTAATAGGAAAATGCAGTTATTTATCAATTATATTGAATATCATTTAAAACTTACCTGAGCCAGACACTAAGGTTAGGATTATCAACAATTCTACAAAAAATATTGAAACTAATATTTAAGCCAGTTTCAAAATATTTAACTAATATTTAAGCCAGTTTCAAAACTTTTTGATGTCATTACATTTTTAGGGCGCAATAAAGTTAAAACCATGCCTTCTTCTTTCTGGCACTGTACATTTTAACAAGTAACATTGAATTGAATTTTGAGGCTTTTCGCTTTTAAATGTAAGTTAATACAGGGTTTCCCAAAACATACGTTACACTTTTAATCATCTATAAATTTGTGAAACCAAAAGCATTCACAAAGATATTTTGTCAACATTTAGTATATAAGCATAAATTTTATTTGACAAACTTTCGGGAAATTCTGATTGTGTCATGATTCTGATGACGTCATCATATTTTAATATGGAACCTTCATGTGAACAACTAGTAGAAATTGTCAAACTTTACTATTGGTTTAAATATGCTACTTTAGTTATTAGAACCTTGCGAATACACCAACCTGAAATGAAAGTGTTTAACAGAATGCTATTTTACAGATTTGTGAAGGAGTTAGAAGTTAGAGGAACCATAAATGACATAAGGCACTATTCCGGTATTAGAAGTCCAAGGAGTGCCCGTATTTAAAGAGAGTATTGAAACCATTGATAGAGTCATTACTGAAACTTTACAAAAATTCCTTAGACGGGTACTGCATGAACAAGATGGCAGCTTTGGTAAATCAAGTGTTCATAGAATACTAAATTTTGATATTAAATTGATTCCTTACAAGAGAAGTGTGATTCAGCATTTGAAGGGGACAGAAATCAGAAGTGTTTAGAGTTTGACAAATGGATTTTAATTTAACTCGACTCTGAAAATTTAACAGATGTTATATGGTTTAACGATGAAGCCCACTTTCATCTTAAAAATATTGTCAATAAAGAGAATCTGAAATTCTGAAATTCGATGAAACCAATTTTAACGTGGGAAAAGCAAACCTCTAAACTTTTGGAATGTTACATGTAAAGCTTGGTACTGAAAAACTTCAGAAAATCCTGTTCAATCAATGTTAATACATGTATAAAGGGATGTCATTTGGACCATGTTGTAAAATAACATATGTTATTCTAAAGGAAAATTGTTGATGATCAATAAAAAAACTCTAACAAATGTATACTTGACAAAAAAAATTATAACAATTTTGTTATTTGTTTTAAATTTCATAAATGTAACTTAAGGCATAGACATTTTATAGAAGATTAAAAGTGTAACATATGTTTTGGGACACCCTGTATATCTGATGATAACACAATGAAATAATGCTGTACATTCAACGGCATAGTATAGAGATAAGTTTTCCGAGGATTGTCAGTGTGGAAAAACAAGAAGAAAGGTCATTTACATGTACTACTTAAAGTTGACATCATAACCTTTCTGCAATGAGTTCTGATTACATTATATGTACCCTTTTATATTAAATGTTTTAGAAGTTATAATTTCTGATTACATTTATCTTCGTTGATTGATTTACATTAAATTATACTTTATCTTAATTCATATTTTTTTAATTAGAACATCTCCGGCTCAATGCGAGATTACGTGTGTTAAGAAGAAATTCACGCTTTTCTTTAGAAATTTCTGATATTAAAAAATATATACACTGTGTGTAAATTTTGGCGGAGAAATAATCATTACCTGTGCTTCTTGAGGACATTGTTAATCAGAATGCACTAGTCTGGACAGGACATTCTTTATTTGATTGAGCCAATGACATATAGATAAGACTTCAAAGTTCATGTTAACAACTAGAAAGATAAAATACAATTTATACGAAAAATTGACATTCTAGTCTTACTGTCTAAGCTTATTATAATAACAGCATTATTTTTCAGATGTAAAATAGTTTTGCTGTAAAATTGCTAGATCCTCAGTGCGAGATAATAATATACAGTCATGTATTATAATTTGTGGTCAATTGTCCCTTGAAAAATCCTAATAAGTTAACCTTTTGCCCTTTTGGGGAAAGTTGATTACAGTTTTTTTTATTACCAATTAAAAGGTCCTAAAATTTTCAATATACCCTGATGGGTTTAGATGTGACTCAAGAGGATAAAGTGGATCCTTTGAAACCGACTTTGTAGTTTGAATAAGGGTACCAATCATTGAATTTTTAAAATAAGTTTGTGATTTTAGTCATTAGATAATAGTTAAATGTTTGGGGAAAATATTTTCTATATAGAGATTCCTTTTTATAAAATATCTATATTTCTCACACGTTTCGTATTCCTTTTTATACATTTCTGAGATAGGTCATCAAGTTTCTCTACCCGTCAAAAAACTTTTGGATATTATCACCCTTTTTGGAAAACAAGAGAAATGTGATCATAGTTGTACTCATTTTCAATGTAATTTCTATTCTAATGAAACGGTTCAGAAGCAAATCCCTCAAAGAAATTTTAGCATTACTGATGTTATAACGGGGTCTATCAAACCAAGAGTTTCGATGTTTGTTCCAGTGTCATATATTTCTAAGGACTTTCGACACTGCAACGACATACTACTATTTATTGTTTGTTGTTTTACGTCACATTTGAGAATTTTTTACTCATAAAGTGATATTGACCTTTAATAGGTTCTCAGGGCCATTGAGCAGTGATGTATTTTTTTACCGTGCCAACACCTGATTTTAAAAGTCTCATTCGAAGGACCTGCAATTTTCATTTCCAAATGCCGAGGGCATGGTGGAGGAATAGTTGCTATCTTTTATCGTCTTAGATCGGTCTCGAGATTTAGGCTAAGGACCTTCCGATCACGGAGCAGACGCTTTACTGACTAAGCTACCGTGACAATCAAACTTGTTGTTCAAGACTACAAATATATTCATTAAACATATCTTCAACACGATCAGGACTAGAGTCAACAACATATGATACATTGTATAGTAAAATTTAATATTTAGCACATTCAGACCCACTCTCTTGTCCCTGGTCTTTGACCTGCGGTATGTTTTTTTTTATTAAAGGACTAGAGAATAGAAATAATCATGCTTTATATAGTCTGATGAAGATGTAGAGTCAGTAATAAAAGTCAAAGATCTCTTTCCGATATATTGTAAACTTGCATTCACCCTAAGACCCTGAACCAAGATACCAACATTTTACTTCGGCCCAAGAGTTGGACCCACTTTTCCTACATTTTATCATCTATAATTTTTTTACTATTGGTGCCAGCGCTTTCATATATCAAATGTTTATTCCTTGTAACATTCCAAAACCACCACAGTTCCTTAGTAGGCATGCTCTGTGATTGAAAGGTCGTTGGCTCGAACCCCGACTGCGACTGACAGAAAGCGATAAAAAAAAGATAGGTTGCAACTGTTCCTTCGCCAAAGAGCTTGGCACTTTGGATTGCAAGTTGTGGGCCCTTCGATTGAAACCTCAAAAACCGAGGCGGGCCGAGTAAACATCGAAATTTGAATCCTTTAACCGGTATACGAAACGTTTCTATAAATGTGAAAAAGAATTCTCGAATAGGACTAACTCAATATACAACCAATCCTTGTGACTAGACCTTCCCTAGGATACCAACAATTTTGACCTCTAATAATACAACTTTTGACAAAGCTTAACCTTGGCTATAATTTCTGTCAGGTTAGAGTAATATCGGATGTCATTTAATAGGGGTATTTCTTGTGACAAGATCTTTCCTTGGAATCAACAATTTGAACCTATGAGTTGACCTAGTTTTGAAAAACTTTAACCTAGGTCATAACGTTTTTCAAAATAGTTGGTGCTAAGCTTTTACATTTTACATGTGCATTCCTTGTGATAATTACATCCCTTGCCTTTCTACTATTTTGACACTTTTACATTTGAGTTTGACTTCTGACAAATTTAAATGTTGGTCATATCATTTGAATGGTTAGTGCCATGGCTTTTGTTTTTAGATATGATACATTTCATGAGAAAATGACCTTCCCTTAGACACTAACAACTTGAATCTTTTATCCTCGACCTTGAAGTTTGAAATACTTTTGAAAAACGTAGACCTTGTTTCTAAGTCTTGAATGACATAAGCTGGAGCTTTTAAATGTGTATTTCTTGCGACACGTCCTTCACTTGGGCAGCATTTATTTTGACCCTTTAGTCTTGACTTTAGAATTAGTCCATCATTTGAAACAAGAGGCCCAGGGGCCACAGCACTCACCTAAGCACATCAGCTATGAAAAAACACATATCAGATCAGACCTGAAATTTAACTTAAGTTGGGGGGGGGGGTTTGAATTTTAATTTAGATTTAAAAAGGATTCCCTATATATTTCTATGTAAAACTTTGGTTGGCCATTTTGGCCACACCCTTACCCCGTGGTCACGACTTGAACAAACTTGAATCTACACTACCTGAAGATAATTTCACACGAGTTTCATCTTTCCTGTTTCAATGGTTCTTGAGAAGAAGATTTTTTAAGATTTTTCCTATATATTCCTATGTAAAAATTTGATCGGCCATTTTGGCCCCGCCCTACCCCCGGGGGTCATGACTTGAACAAACTTAAATCTACATTACCTGAGGATGATTCCACATGAGTTTCATCTTTCCTGGCCCAGTGGTTCTTGAGAAGAAGATTTTTAAAGATTTTTCCTATATATTCCTATGTAAACTTTGATCGGCCATTTTGGCCCCGCCCTACCCCCGGGGGTCATGACTTGAACAAACTTGAATCGTCATGACTTGAACAAACTTGAATCTACACTACCTGGGGATGATTCCACATGAGTTTCATCTTTTCTGGCCCAGTGGTTCTTCAGAAGAAGATTTTTAAAGATTTTTCCTATATATTCCTATGTAAAACTTTGATCGGCCATTTTGGCCCCGCCCTACCCCCGGGGGTCATGACTTGTACAAACTTGAATCTACACTACCTGAGGATGATTCCACATGCGTTTCATCTTTCCTGGCCCAGTGGTTCTTCAGAAGAAGATTTTTTAAGATTTTTCCTATATATTCCTATGTAAAACTTTGATCGGCCATTTTGGCCCCGCCCTACCCCCGGGGGTCATGACTTGAACAAACTTGAATCTACACTACCTGAGGATGATTCCACATGAGTTTCATCTTTCCTGTCCCAGTGGTTCTTGAGAAGAAGATTTTTAAAGATATTTCCTATATATTCCTATGTAAAATTTTGATCGGCCATTTTGGCCCCGCCCTACCCCCGGGGGTCATGACTTGAACAAATTCGAATGTACACTACCTGAGGATGATTCCACATGAGTTTCATCTTTCCTGATCCAGTGGTTCATGAGAAGAAGATTTTTAAAATATGTCACCAAATTTTCATTTATTCCCAATTATCTCCCCTTGAATGAGGGCGTGGCCCTTTATTTGAACAAACTTGAATCCCCTTCACCCAAGGATACTTTGTGGCAAGTTTGGTTGAAATTGGCCCAGCGGTTCTTGAGAAGAAGTCGAAAATGTGAAAAGTTTACAGACAGACGGACAGACGGACGCTGGACAAAATGTGATCAGAAAAGCTCACTTGAGCCTTTGGCTCAGGTGAGCTAAAAACAAACTGACCGTCGCCATAACTATTGAAAGGTTTTTGCCAGGGTATTTATATTTCCAGATAAATTCCTTTTGACAAGATCTTTGTTTTTGGCCTTGACTTAAGCTTTAGCATTTGACTTGCATTTCTGAGAAATAAACCTTTGCCATATGCTGTCATACAGGGACATCAACTTATTTCACAAACATATCGTGTTGATCCTTTAAAAAACTGGATGAATGCGCTCAATAATTAAGAACTGAAAAAATCATGAATTATACTTGAGACCTTTAATTGAAGTTGCATGCTCCAGCTGAACAATGAAATCTTCAGCTAGTTGTACACCGGTCAGCTGGATGCTCATTCCACCATGGCACCTGATCCCACCCCTGATGTTTTGGAGGTCCGTGTTTGCTCTGTTCCTATTTTGTATCGTTTTATAGACTTTGATATTGAATACTGTTTGTTATCTCCATATCCTTCCTGTCATTCTGTTGAACACTTCTCAATTTTGGTAAAAAACCAACTGCTCCTAAACAATTTTGAAGACTGCATAGATTTTTATGGTTATAGATTCAACTCTACCAAAAAACACTATAGTTAACTAAAGTAAGCACTATATGAAAATTTTTATTTACTATAGACAGTGAACACCTTGACACTTTGATTTTCAATAGTGAACACTTTGACACTTGGATTAACTAAAGTCACTGTGATAACTATTAAAACTTTGATTTACTATAATTAAAACTCGTATTGTAGTTTTAGAAGCTATGGTAACAACTTTTTTTCTACTTTTTTCCCGTAGTGTCTTGGTTTAGTCAATCTCTCACCAGAGGGCGTATTATGCATCGCTACAACATCTCTGTAAAACTTAAAAATGCCAAGATTCTTGGCAAACTAACAGTTACCTAATGTGTCATCAATTATGAATTGTAATTTAAGATTTATATTTCTTTACTTAAATCTTAAATTAAAAAGTTTTTATATGAAAATTTGAGACAGATATGGCCTATTTGCCTTATCTTATAAACGTGTCGGCAGGACATTGAGAACGTAGAAAAATTAAAACACATTGCAGACAAATATCAACAAGGTTTATTTCTTACAGGCAAACAACTTGCAGTACTGATAGTTATACAGAAATGTAAAGTTGTTGTTTCTTCCTGTGGGTCATTTTGAAAAATATTTAAAGAAATCAATTGTCTCTACTTTCCCTACTACTTTTCAGACAGAGGTACTAATGGAATGATAACTCTGGATAGAGACTGTGGTTTAGTATCTTCCTTACCATTTTCAATTGAAATCAGAGAAATCTGTTTGAGCCGCACACGTAAATCCAATTTTTTTTTTACTATTTATTCATGCATTTTACAAGAATAAGTAGCAATATCCAAACGTACTGTTATTTTTGCAAAACTTCAATAATGTTTTGTTATTGTTAATAAAAAAAGATAAATACAAAACTTAGTTATGCAAGAGAATATAAACAAGAAAGATGCTTTAACACATACTAATGACGTTAAGTATAGTCTGCACCAAATTTAACATTCACAGTACACTTTGTACATTCTTCATTAACAGTAGTGTACATTATGGATTACTATAAACTAGAGCACAGTCTAAATCAGAAATGATGCATTTTTGTTCTACAAAAACTTAAATGTCTGTGTAATTTTAACATAATGATTTAAAAACAACATTAAAACAATAATTTTCATACAACATTGACACTGTATGTAAACATATGTTAAGTAACTTAACAAATGATTTCTTGATACTTTGAATCATCAGTAAAAGATAGTTTTAGAATATTTTAGTACTTCACTTTATCATGTTCCAACTTATTCTCACATAAACATGACAGACACATGTACCTGTGTTTAATACACTAATAAATGAACAATGTAAACCAAATTGTGAAAATTTAAATCCTTGCCTTAAATCATCATGTCACTAATTATGATAGCAATGTGAACATATGCATGATATATTCAACATTTGCTGCCTTTCATCAACATTCTAATTCTCAAATCGCATACAAGACATAAAATAACATGTCCTTGACATCTTCTACTTTCAATTTCCATCCTTTCTTTTGAGTCCTTGACTTCCACTTTCACTTTCTATCCTTCCTGTTGAACAAAAGGATTGGCAATAGCCTCCATTCCATCAGAAGGACAGATGAGTACAACTGAGGTCCCTCTACAAACCACCAATCCTAGAGATCGCGTGTCATCTGTAAGCTTATATGGATCATCAGGATCTGAAAATAGATATAATTTGTTATCAAGAGACTTGCAACATTAAGAAATGAAAAGCATGAAAAACTTTAATACTGAGTGCATATCGAGCTAAAAGGAGGACGCGGATATTCTCCCATGAAAGTTTGTTCTTTATATTTCATTTTATCTTTTTTTGCATTATTTACCATTATTTTGAAATGATTCTTTTTCATTCTACTTTCTGATATCAAATATGACATTTTAAAGCAAAAGAATTGTGGTTCCCTCCTTTCGATATCTTTGTTAATAGGATTCCATATACTGCATATCGTGTAAAAATATAAACACTCTATCATATGATAAAGTTATTCAAAAGTAATCCCCAAACTTAATTTTTTTTTCAATTTTGTCAAAAATGAAGGTCAATGTCAGGTGGTCAAAAATCATATCATGCCTGGAAACATTTTGTCACAAGTAATGCACATTATTAAATATAAAGTCCAATTTTAACTAAATCAAAAGTTATAAAGGAAGATCACAATTTTGAAAAGTAGGTTAAACTTCATGGTTACAGGGTCATAATTCATGATTTCTTTTCCCCAGGTAATATACATGTATTTTATGAAAGCCATATCTTTTCTCTTTCAACAGTTTTGACCATTTTAGAGTATTGTTGAAATTTTTTAGCAAAATAATTTTATAATTTCAAGAGCAATAGGTATAACAATCATTGAATACAAAATAAAATTTTAGCAATATTCAATTTTACAGGCCTATGTTCAATCTCTATAATGCCAAAATCAAATCCTCAATAACATGTCTGCTGAAGAGGTACATATGTATACATTTATTGTGTTTAATTTTGTAGAATATTTCAACATGTGTGACAGTTTTCAACTTGACAATTAGTGAATAAGATTTGTCACAAATAATAATTGGTTTACAACATTTTTACATAATCTTTTATCAAAACAATTTGTTCCTAATATTGATTTAGCTTAGACTCAGTTGTGTCAAAAGTAAGATAACTCTGTCTGTATTGAGTTATCCTCCTTTTGGATTAATCAGCTAACAATGAGGCGAAGGAGGCGAAAATATATTACAGACATGCTGAATTATGCATGTTTTGTACTCTAATTTGATGAAACATTTAATACAAAAGAAAACAACATATGATGGATTACCTCTGAGGTATTCTGTTGTATCATCCAGTACAAGATTTAACAGGGGGTCGTATCCTTTTAACACGCCGGCAGCTGTAGCAGAAAAAATATGTTTAATAATTAAGACCTTTCACTCGGAAAAGTTTACAAAGGAAAAAAAGATTTTGATTTCTTAAAATGACCATTTGTTGAAGTTTAAATATGAAAAAAAGAATTGCATGAGCATACAAGTGTCCACAGAAATGTTTGTCTCCTTGTATGGTAGTAGTGAAAATTTTTTCATGAATAAATGAATATTGATTAGCACTTGTGCTGATTATACAAGTGATTTTCCCGTGTAGAAATATATATTATTATAACAGTAACTTGATCCGAAGGGTCGTATCACGTCGAGTTGACAGGCGCGGATCATCAGATCTAACGAGACGCGAAGCGTCGAGTTTGATCTGATGATCCGCGCCTGTCAACGAGACGTGATAAGGCTCTTTGGATCAAGTTACTGTTATAATGATAAATTTATTATATACCTCCTCATAACTAGCAAAATATAGCAAAAGAAAACTTTAGAGATCAATTGCATAATATTTATCCATAAAATAAAGCATAATAACAAGGGACTTTTTAACGCGCAAGAAAAATAACGTCATATTTCTGCGTACTACGTCATCAGTTTCAGAGAGTGGTGATATGGATTCAGAAAACAACATGTTGGTGATCCGGAAAATCGGATCACGACGTCACGTGATAGCGTAAATTCAACAGTAAAATTGGGTGATACACATTAGGTATATAATAAAGTTTAATATTTACGATTAAGAACTGGCTTTATATCAGTTCATGAGGTAATGTAGAAGGGTAGAGTGGTAGAGAACTGTATATCACTAAATTTTCTTGAGATAATCATTTCCTCCTTATTAGTGAGACAATATTCTCCCAAACTGTGGTTAGTGCTCTGTGTAATCATTAGGAATTCTTATATACGCGAGAATAATATTTTTGCAAGCACACTTTCTCGCGTAATTATGCGAAAATAAAGTTCTTGCGAATGATAGGTGATTTACAGTACATCATGTACATGATATGTTGGGTTTCATACCTTCTCGGCCACCGCTGAATTTGACTCTGATAGTTTTGTCGAGGTACTTGGCGAGATCCAAAATTGTCTCTTTCTTCTTCTTCTCTTTGTCTTTGTCCCCTGATTGCTAAAAAATGAAAGGAAGATTGATTCCCAATTAAACATTTAAATTGAATGAAATATATCTTTAGTCTTTTCAAACATAACACTAAGTGTTCTTGTACATTCAATTTGATTCTGTTGACTTTGGTTTAGATATATTTTGATCTTTGGGAGATCTTGAGATTGACGAAAATATGTATTTTTCAATCTGGCGATAGTGCAATCTGATAATAATTATGTGTACTGCTCACTTCTCCAGCATAAACATTAGGGGTGGGACGATACACACATCTTGCGATACAATATGTATCTCGATATATTGGCACGATACGATACATATCTCAATATTATGAGGAATTATAAAACTATTCAAAAGAATTAGTATTTTATTTTTTTTTTTTTTGTCTTGACATTAAATCAACAAATTATTCTATATCAAATCATGTTTGCTTTGAAATTAATACTTGAAGTTCATCAATTTCATTGACTAAAACTTTACAAAAACAATAATACATGTACATACTATTATTACCAAATTACTATTCAGAAGTTGTTTACAGATAGTTGTGTAGTTTATCAGAGAACACTCATTCATTTAAAAAACATCGATCACATTTACATTTTTATTAATTTATTGCTGAAAGTCTGTAGCCAAGTTGAGATGACAAAAAAAAAGTACAAGATGGACTAACAATTAATAATATCAAATGTTCTGGAAATGATATTTTCTGTGTATAGCGCACATTATATACTGAAGTTTTCTTGTCCAATCTTCTGAGGCTGCTTAAAAGTGAAAACGTTTTACCCCTAACCAACAACTTATTAGTTCTACATGTAAAGTGTGTTTTCAATATCAACATCATCTCTTCCCTCGTACAAGCTGTCATTTTCCAAGGACAGGTATTTTCATTTTCAATTTTTGGATAGGTCATTCCTGTATCGTTTCGTACCGATATTTGAATGCTTGTATCGTAAACCGTATCTTGGAGGAAAATATCGATATGTATCGGTATATTGTCCCACCCCTAATACACATTACAGATGTATATGGTGCAAATAAAAACTACATAATTTGAAATATTAAGGAATAATTTACTGCATGTTTAAAACTTTGTCAACTCTATCTAGTAAATAAATGAGGGAATAAAAAATATTATATCATTGTACATTATAATATATTTATAAAATATATGTGGCAGAGTGGTTTTTAATAAATAAATAATTAATAAAAAATATTTATTTACCGGGTATCTCAAATTGTTTTATTGTTTTCATCAATGTTCATTTTCATCATTGCACTTTTCACTTTGCATGTTACTAATTCTGACTGGCTAACCTTTTTGACTTTTGACATTATGAATAATGTAGTTTTATTGGTCAAGGGTTTTGGCGGTAAGTTCTCTATTGTTCAATGTGGTGTGCAGGGGCACTTCATTCTTGCACGGACAGCCGAAGTTACTGGCTGTGAGATGAGTCTGTCTCAATTATTACATTACATTACAATGTTTGGGTTTTACTACCACAAGAAAGAATTCATTGAGTATTAGTATACAGACCACATTTACTTCAGTATACATGTAAAAATGTGAATCAGTATCTTGTCATCATGTCAGCCTAATTCCATAAATTGGGCTGATTTTCAATTTAATTATTGATTGTTAATAAATGTGGAACGGGATCCATCAGGCAATAAAGAATCGAACCCTTATACTGTGTTGATCATCTGTATTACAGGGTCACATATATATGTACAAAATGAAGGTTAAAATAGCCTAATTGAGTAGGTATAAAGAAATAGCTAGCTATAAAAAGCTAGGTAGGTAAAAATAGTCTTTGGAGTGGACATGTGCAAAATGTGAAGGGAATGATCGTTCTACTATGCAATGGATGGAGCTTCTTATCGTTTTTTAAATTATTGAGCACAAAATATGTAAAAATGAATAGTTAACATACCTGCATTTGCTTTGGGGCTTGTGACATGATGATTTCGGCGACTTTTTTCCTAAAGAAAAACGTGAATAAAACGCTCGCTCAAACCGGAATGAAACTAGAGACGATTCTGTTAGAGTTTCTTTGATCAGACTTTAAGTTTCCGGAAAAAAAGTTCAACCAACGAATTTCTATAAAATGTCTTGTTTTTGATATTGGTTTCCTTCTTGTATTAAAAAAAAATTCTACTAAAATAAACTTCTGTTTTTCTTTGATTTATAAGCTTTTTGATTATGGCCACGTTGCTTAAATAATAACTACATGTATTGATTCAAGAAAGAGTGATAGTCAGGCGTTCAAATATACGTTATGTACAACACAGATGTTCTCTCTCTTATAGCCATCAATAATGCATAAAAGTTCGATCTTTGTCCAGGTATGAGAATTTTCTATGTAATACACACAGTACGTCTTTTCCACGTTTTGTCACTGAGGATCATTTTTCATTGCGGAGATTATTCGAAATCAGTAAGTACATTCATAAATTACCACTGCTGTTTTTCTCACATGCAGTTATAACTTATAATCACATGTAAATTACTATATTATGTACTTACATGTAGTTGATTTAATACAATTCTACGGAAAATATGTTACAAGAAGATTAAAATTTCCTTTTGTTTTTCCTTCATTTCTTATGAGCATGTTTAACGATTTAATATTTCTTCACTGTTGAGTTCTAAATATCACATAGCAAAGTAAATTTAACAATTTTTGAAGGGGACGACAATTCGATTCTGAAAGGGGGCAAATATACATGGATCGATCTGTCCTCGAAAGTTGAAAATGAAAATAAATGATATGTCCCTGACCCTTCTCCCCCTTACCCCCTCCCCCAAATAAGAGTAGTTGTGGACCTGGATGTTTTCCTTTTTTCTTTTGCTTGTTAGGCTTTTTCAGTGATGAAGGAAATGATTAAATTGTCATTAATATTATTTGAAATGAATAATCTGTCATTCACATGGACAGAAATATTCTGACTCGAAAAAAAAGTATTAATGCCGGCCCCCTTCCCTCAAAACCATGCAATGGTTGTCCCCTAACTAGACTTTCAATATAACTATTAATCATTTAAGTTCAGGTAACATTCTCTTTACCAGTTTTGCATACATGTACATTGCACAGTCCGACATAGGGATCGAAATTTTCTTTCCTTTTATTCTGTTGTTATATGCGAGTTGTAGAAACACAGACAAACAGACAATTAAAGTTAGAGCCAATTTATTCTTACCCCATCCCTCCAAAAAATGGTCTCTAATCGGGGGATTGCATGCTGACTTGGTATATGTACAGAGCATTTACAATTAATTAAAAATTTTTAAAGATTACAATTCTCTTAGAAGATTTTAACATAATCTATGTAAGTAATATCTTACGTTTGATATATTAAATATATTTATATATTAAACAAAATAAGTAGGAGCTTTGAATTTCCTCTCTAAGGCCCCAAGCATCCAATCATCAAATCCCCCATGGAGAACCCCTGAATCTGAAACCGGTGAATTTTAATTTTGTAAACATGAGTCGGGCGCTACAGCACTGCAATCCACGTGTAATCTGGCAACACAAAGAGCCCGTCGTTTGTGTATGAGGATACAGTTTCATTTTTAAAAGCCAAGTTTTTATAAAGAAATGTTTTGTGTCATCCAATATGGCCAGATAATTCGTATTTACCTGCCATTTGGTTTTATTAACATTTTCCCCCGATTTTCTGACACATCGGAGTTATTGTATTGGAACGTTTGTTAAAACAGGAGTTTTTAATTCAGAAAATATATTTTTCTGTGTTTGATGTGTCGAAAAATATGATGGATGTTGTGTATCGAAACTAGTGTTTGCTAAACACATACTTTTGGAAGTTTATTTTTATTAAACTTTATAGACGTTGGTGATGCTTTGATATCGTATGCTAGCATGGGATAGGAAAGACAATACTTTGCTAAGAAAGGAGGAAAACTGAAACTGCATTTCAAGTGACAATTTGGATTGTGAATTTACATGTAATTTGTATAAGAGCCATCTTTGAAAGATTTGTTTATCCAATTGCTTTTTACCAATGGTCAGTTTGCAATTGAAGCGTCAATAATGTGAAGTGGTCAGAGAATGTTTGGCTGTTTTATGCAGATGGATATTTTCTGTTTCAACATATTAGCATTGACCTCTGACATAAAATACGTAAATGACATCCCCTCAAACGGGAGGTTTGCCACCTTAAACTTTGTCACGAGGAATTCCACCTCAGTTACTGTGACGTCATAATTTCCAGGTTTTTATGATGTCATCAAAATGTACCGACCTACCGGTAAAGGCTCCGGGCACCGGTCCCTGCTCGCGGAGACTCTGGGTGTTTTTGGTCCTAGGGGCTGTGGACATTGTTTTAGGACTCATCAGTGTTGGACTTTATTTCAACATTCAGGCTATCACTACCTCTGATAGCCTGACGGAAGTGATACCTGGGTATATCGTTTGTCTTGTGGTGAGTACAGTGTATAGTGCGTATATACGTAAAACAAGAATTCCATCGGAAACCCCTCATCAAATTAAAAAGATCACAGTCATTGTTATTTCATATTGAGTGTATTATTTAACATGTTTAATGTGCAATTTCTGGCCTGTCAATTGTGGGCACTTGACAAAGGAAGAAAAATGATTGTGAGAATTGGTGATTTATTGAATCACACGAGTATAGAAATTAATGATCATATTTAGAATTGGGAGATTAAAACAGGGAATATTTGTCTGTAGTACACATGTACCTACCGAAGCTAGCTGTACTCAGATTTGCTAGATAGGGTAGCTTAAATTATTTTCTGTAGAGTGTAGACATGCACTTCTTAACTAATATCTATGGAATATCCATGGATACACATTAAGGTTATACTAGCTTGTCCACTCTCCTAAAGAGCTAGGGTAAATTAAGGGTTGTCTTGACCCTGCTTTATTATAAGTAAAACCCATTAGGCCTAATAGACCCTATAGGACAAGCCAGGCAGTGAAACATTAGCAGGGAACTGTTATCAAACTCTATCAGATGTTTCCTCTAGAAACGAAGGTGAAAAACAGATGTAGTTAATGTTCGTATGACACTAGAGCTCGGCCTAATCGCCGGCTTGATCAGAAGAGATCTAAGCTTCTTTACAAATCCGTGCGGAAGTGCTATGGGGGCTGAATTATTATTGAGAGCTCGTATGTATTAATACTAAAAATATTTTATGCTCCAAATACACAGACTTTATTGTACTTAATCCGCGACAAACTTCACACAGAGTTTAGATGTAAGGTGTGAACTTAGACATTCTATAGATGCGTCTGCGTGTTGTCATAATTGTGCATATTACATGTATGTTGATCAGTTGCCAACCATATTGTACGAAATTAATGTTTCATCTGTTATAAAATCAATATCAGGGAATATGAAAACTCTACAACGCTGCAAAAATTTATATGATTTCAAGGGTATTAACATTTGACAGTTCTTAATTAAAGACATAAAAAATATGAATCTGATATGGGGGGTTTCTGTGATCATACAAACACGGATTATAGGCTTCCTTTACTTATCCGAAATTTTAAAGTTGGTGTCGTACAGTACTGGCCTAGGTGCCACTTTTGGAAGCAAAACGACCCAAGATCTGTAATGTTGGAGTTGAACAGTAGCAAACGGCCTTAATACTGTGGTCAACACCAAAGTGATCAGATGGCCATGGTCCTTCAAGAGTACATTTGTTACCCTGTCAAATGTCCCCGGACCTCGCCCAATCAAACGGGCACCTTGCCGTTAAAATTTCGGACATAATAACCCCCGTATTCATCGTGTGTTGGAATGTGTCCTCCTTTGTTCGGGACCCCCCTACGGAGATTTAGCTCTTTAATTGGACCCCCATTTATGTATTCAAAACCCTCCATTGTCATCCCACGGTAAAACCACCTGTCGTATTTTCCACGGTTCGGCGCGGGTCAAAGAGATCGACGGAGAGGCGAAATATTTCACCGTCTTTTTAATATCGTTTGATTTTGAAAGTGCAAGAAAGAGATTTGTATCACAAAGAGAAGGGATAGACCTTGAATGCAGCATTTGTGTAGCTGTGTAATTAAGGTCCCCAGACAGCGCCGAGGGATGCTAGAGAGCTAGCATTCTGTGTAAAGAATTCGTTATCCATCAGGGGTAAATCTTGCAAGCAACCTTAAATTTTGGGTCCAGACCATATTTGTAGCTGAATATGACGTCATAGAAAAAATCTGGACTGTATAATTTTGTATCGTAACAATTAATAAGAAATACATGTATATACCAGTTAAAAAAGATCCTAGATCCTTATGCAAAGTCATTTTAATGGAAACATTTCTTTTTCGTGTACTGAACAATGGCTTCTGAAATTATTTAAGAGATATATTATAGTCAAGGACGAGATATTTCTCTGTTGTTAAAACACACACACACACATATCACACTTACCCTTTATTTAAATATGGGAAAATGTACTTATTTTGCTGCTTACTAAATTGAAACGGAAAAAAATCATCGTGACTTAATAAATAATCTACATGTGTATGTGGATTTTTAACAAATTCCTTTACATTATAATAACACTTAGATCCGCGCCTCAATCTGATCACACACGTAATTATAGCTAACCACCATGAGAATGAGCGGGGATAATGTTGTTCCTCATTATATTGTCGTCTGTGAAGTTTTATGAGTGCCAGACTCATAATTTCAACAGCCACCGAAATTACGTGTAAACGTTCTATCGACCTTTTGCTATAAAGACCGTGGGAAAATAACCTGCACGCGCGGCGCTCTCAATTTTTCACTGAGGTTAACTCGCAATGCATGATGTAGGAGAAGATTTCGTTTTAGCACTAATTTCTCAAAACCATCCTCACTCTTCTCTCCCACAACTCATTACATATTTGTATATTAAAGTAAATGTTTAAAATTATCTTCGGTCATTGTTTTAAATTAAAATATACATGTTTATAATTATAAAATAAGAAATCATTAAAGTACATGTATTCCCTTTCCATGCAAACTGCAGGTTGTACTATAATTAATACTGTACAAACGTCCACATTTTTATGATTCAAAAATATATATCAAAGAATTAGATTATTATACAAGAGCAACAGCTTTCAATTGAATATTATTATAGTTTAAGAGCTGTCATTTTATAAAAGAGAACAAGATTTACCAGGGATACTAGGGTATCTATAATTGTGTTAAACCTGTAACATGTGTAATACATCGTGAATCCCCGTTGTTAAAGTAAAGCGTTAGACCCAGTGAAGGTTGATGAAGTGGGAAGGAAAAAGTGACATGATAAAGTCGACATCTGTTTTAAGTTTAATTTAATAAACAACCCGTCGATGGTCAAAGAGATAAAAATAAAAACACGTGGGAACTGTAGGGGCCAACCATGGGGGAACGGGAAAAATAACATATCATTGTAATAATAAAATACATAATGAAATTTATATTGAGAGGAAGTGAAGACTTATCTCTGAATGATATAATATACTTCAATTGAATATAGTTTAAGGGGAGAAAATTAATCCTTTCTCTTTAATGTCTGTAGAATTTTTATTAAAAAGAAGATAACCCCGGATTATCTTTCTTATCGCCGCGGTGTATCTGGCGAACTTTGTTATTTTTGTGGGACAAAAGTTAACGTGCCAAATTAAAAGTGTTTATGCGATGGAATTTATGTAAATAGCTCCACAGTTTAGGCAGACACCCGATACTTTATAAACCAAGTCAAGCGAGACGAACTGTCGTCTGAACACACTTTTGTTTCGCCTGACTGGTCAGACATCGGGTTCAACACGTGGAGAGAGAGAGAGATGGTTTTTAAATATATTCAGAATTCTTCATGTTTTATTGTCCGTAATGTAGACGAAGATGAATCATTCATCAATTCACTGATTTTATATTTTAAAAAAAAACCTAATAAAGTCGTCCTAAAATCGTACACATACACGAAGATGGCAATATGTTTTTTTTTAATTCTTCAAATTGTGTCGTTTATTAAAACAAAATATCTAATTATAATAAAAAAAATCTTATTTTTTTAAAGAGCCTGGAATAAATATTTCTATACATACCCACCATTGTATAACATTGTTCATTGTAAAGCTACAGTATAATACGGTTACAGCGAAGACGTTTATAACGATTCACGTTTACTGCGAAGTAATTGTCTGCAGGTTAAAAGCCTTTTTAAAACGTAACAAAAATAATGAACAATCTTAATATAATTACTTTTAAGATGAAATTGTGTGTCTCTTGCACCTCACTTAAAGCGTGTTTTTTCTTTGCCTGTTTGTATTTCAACTTTCAAAATTACATGTCAAAGTTCTTTTACTGATTGCAGATCATAACTAAAATATCTCTAATAGACAATTTTATGAAAATTATTCAGTAATTACATAATACATGTATTTCTGTTTGTAGGTCCTTCTTAAAGGGTCCATTGTTCTTGTCTTATTTTGGTTGCGGCCATCTTGCTTGGTATGTAGTAGCAAATTAATCATTCTTAAATATGTATTTGTACAACATTCTTAAGCATGCATTTGTATAACATAAATAGATTTTTTTTCCCCTTTTCTTTCAATTTTATACCTGATTTTGAGTTTAGTGAATTAATTTTATATTCATTTCTACTATACAAAAAGATCATGCAGGATCATAAAACATACTCTTATTTAATTGATGATGACAAGTGTTTTATCGTGTACGCTTGATCAACATCTTATTATTAATATGATCAGCATTAAACGAGTTAACTAAGTTTCCTGACCCTGAGACCAGATAGTACAAAATATTTTTATTTACGAAAGTGTTCATTTATATTGCTTCCTCTTGCTTTATATTCTCAGATATTTGTCTGTCTAGCGGTGGCTACAGGTTGCGGACTTCTTTGCGTTGTGTTGGCCATCTTGTGTGTGACGCATGTCCTTCAGCCAATCACAAACCTCGACTCATGTACCTACGTCAAGCAGGAATCGGTTTGTGAATGTAAATCGTCATATCGGAGAGACGGCCTAACTGTAGAGTTTCTCCCTGCTGGTAAGTCATAGGCGGATCCAATTAAACAATTTTTTTCCCAGATATTATTATATACATGTATCTAGTACTTTAAGTTAGTTAAAGTATATGTAAAACTTTTTTTTTATTCGTTTAATTGCAATTAATTGTCAGATTTAATACGTTTGCTTAATTGATGAAGATATTTCTTCTTATTTTATAGAAAAAGATAAAATAAAGTTTGAGAGAAGCAACAGTTGTGACGACATTGAATCCCTACTTCCGGTTCTTTTATATGCTGAGTGCGCCCTCTATCTGTGTATATTCATCGTGTGTACCATTGTCGCTGTCCTGTCATTCCTCATCATAAAGTTAGAGAAAAGAAACATTTTAAGGGTAAGATTCCCCCATACTCTCCTCCTCTCTGTAAATTGCATTAATTTTTTATTTTCTCGAAGTGAACTTTTCGAAAAACCATCCCATATTTATTTACTACAATAATATTAATTAAAGCAATGTCTTTAATTTATAATCGGTTTAGGTATTTGTTTGATGTTAGATTTTTAAGGATACACCAAAGGCTTTTTTCAAGATTTTTGTCAATTTTGAGATTTTTGGCTAAGAAAACAATGCTAATCACTGCTTTATAATGCATGAAAAATTCTTGCTGATTATTAAATGGTTTTCTAATTATTTAACAATAATCAAACATAAACACTAACACATGTGAATGTGCCGTTATTGAAGCTTCTGATTTGTTCTGTAACTGCCTGCTTCTGAAGGGAGCAATAAATCACTGTGACCACTTGGGGAATTCTTCACTAGCCACACAGAGGTTATCAGTAATTAAACTGCAGGGACTCTAGATTTAGGGAAGGAGATCTAACAGGTCACTAATGACCATGAAATAGGAGGTGGAGCTTACCTCTTGCCATTTTGCCGGGAAATCTTTCTGATTCAGAATTGAACCTTTTTACTTCATTAAAAGCACCTAAATAAAGAATAGAACCTCCCATTCTTGTGAATATGCATAGGAAATATGGATAAGTGACAGGTATCCAAAGCTGAATCTCCAAGGTGTCATATATTTCCAGCTTTGTCAGACTTTGTTGTGTAATGGGTTTTTGCCCTCTACTGTAAAGTAAGATCAGACAGTTGGTGGTATTATTTGAAAGGATTCAGCTCCCTTATTTATTGACCAATTTATCTGAAAACTGGCCAGAATGCATCTCAAATGTGTGTTCACAAAACCGTATCTCAGATTTTTGATATCTTGCTCAGTTCTCGAATTATTGGGGGAAATGTAGAATTAGGCTAATAAATTGGTAACATTGAAAGACAAATGGATGTAACTTTTGAATAAGAAGATTTATCAAAAATCTGAGATACGGTTTTAAAGTTCAATCCTTAATCTACATTGAGGCAAAATTTTGACTTTGTGAGGTGGAATACAAAAAAGTTGATTTATAAAATATAAATGCACTAATATTTACATTAAAGTATTAATGATTTTTTAATAAGATAAAAATGAAAATTTAAATTAAGATAATTAAATAGTGAATTTAACAAGCTTTCAAATGATATATACTTTTAATATGTTATCTTTGTTAATGAAAGAATTACAAGCAAATTAAATTTTGCCCTTTGGAAACCTTTGGTGTATCCTTAAGCCATGATGGTAAAATCCTTTGCATTTTACTGAAAGTATACCACAAAGGACAAGTTCTACGTGCCGCAGTAGTTAGAGCTGACCCCTACGTCAAGGGTTGGAATGTAGACCGGTCGTATTAAGGATAAGACCGTATAACACCGAGGTCCCGTGTCGCAGTAGGTGCTGACACGAAAAAGATCCCTCCCTGCTCAATGGCCCTAAGTGCTGAACATAGGTCAGAATTGTAGTGGTGGCGTCTCAACATGAGTGATAAATTTTCGAGAGGGATGTTAAACAACAAACAATCAATCAATCCAATAGAACGACCGAGGCAATGCGAGCTGAAATTCCCGAGAGATGCCTCTTACTTAATTTATTTACCCCTTTACGTCTTAATTGAAGCCTTAATCCAGTGTCACAACACGTAAAAGCAATGTTGCTTCCGGCTAGTTCAAATCCCCCAACTCTCCTTAGAAAAGTATATTTGAAGGTTAACCTCAAAAATATTATGAAAAACATCTTACGCTTCATTAGTCATTTATATAGTTTAAAAACAATAAAACAGGTAAAAGATTGCATTCAGATATCAGTCTCAACAAATGTAACGAGAACAAGCATACATTGTATAATTAAGAATTTCACAAAACTTCAAATAGAATAAAAATCTGTCAAAATGAAAACCGGAAGTAGAATTTAGTAGAGCTGCCAACCGGAAAAGGAAGATCGATGTGAGCCTGCGCTGAGTATACTACCGTGTATGTTGATTCCCGGCCGAGAGCGCACCCTGACGATGTCTCCGTTATTCAACTGGGCCACCACCACCCCCGTTGTCATGTGGTACTCACTGTTCTGTTGACTGTCCGTGATTACGTTTCCTGAAACAGTTATTAATTAAGCTTAATGAATTCCCTCAGTTGTATATCGGGTACTAGTATTTCTGCGAAAATCACATATCAGATTAGACACTTCTTATTAAAAATGTAGAGGAATCATGTGTATACAAGTTTATGAATTATACATCGTATTATTTACGAAGTCTCATTTATCTGATTATCATTCATCAAACCCTGAAACATACATGTAAATTACGGCACGGAAATTACAAAGAATATAAAAAATTAAATTTCTAGGATCATCTTTCGATGACACACCGCCTTCATATAGGTACTTGACCTCCGTTGTGGCGCTTAAATTGTTTTTATCTACTAGCTACATGTATTTGCTCCACTTACCAAGTGCAACAGAGTTTACGGTGAGCTCCGAGAAAACATAAGAGTTAGAGTCAACAGTGATAGTCCAGGTAAACACGTAAGTCCCGGCATGAGGGGCTGTGAAAACACCCGAGGTGTTACTGTAACCGGAACCGACGTTAGTCCGGATGTTATCGAAAACGAAAGTGGTATCCGGGTGAGGATACTGCAGGTTGTTGTTCATGTAAGCATAGAAAGCATTATGAGTTGATCCTTGACCTAATTAAAGAACAAAATATTATATGTTAGAAACAATGTAATATTTTCTGTGGTATATATCTTAATTTAGCCTCTAGAAGAACAGAACATCAAGTCAAAGCACAATAAACTTTACCGGCATATTTTAAAAGGTTACTTTTGGTCTTACTGTTAATTATAAGTTAACTGTCTTCAACATGACCGGAAAAGATTTCGACCAAGAACATTGATAGCAGAGGTAGTCAATTAACTGTTGTGAATGTCACAAATATATCGAAAGAAAAGCACATTTGTGAATAATATACATAAAACATAAGACAATTACGTTTTGTCAGTCCTACATGTTCGTGTATTTGCGAGTCGCACTTCTCAGATAAAGCATGGATCTCTGCCCTCATTTCACTCGCCTCTTTTCGTTCTTGAATGGCGGCGGCTTCCAGCTCCCTCACTCGACCTTCCAGCTTCTGAATCGTCATCAGCAACCGACCAGTCAGATCTTCGCTTTGGTGGGATCCCGCCTCGCCCGATCCGCGTGCAATTGCCACGGAAATGAAAACACAAAAAAGAGTGGCTGCAATATCGCGAGGTCCCATGTTCAAAAAATGGCTCACTGCAATGAAACTGCCTTATCGGGGATCACTAACCTAGTCTTGTCTGCAAAATGTCTGTGTCACACATAGCTTATATAGACCAAAGTGCCCGTGGTCCGTTTGGAAAGATAAGAACAATAGTCCATATTGCAGTACTAAATACACTATGTAGATTATAAGCAGGAATTGCTATAGACGATATTGCGACTGTTATTGTAGGTTTCCATTGTTAATACTCCGTGCTTTGTACCGAGTTAAGAGTTCTTTTCATGCACAGTACTTAAAATGGACTAGTTACATGTATATACTACAGTTATACCTTAATTAAGTCAAGGTTTATTTGTACGAACTCGACTCGACCTTTTGATCTGCATATGACGTCACCAAATGCTTAGCTGATATCTTTTACATTATGGGGGTGTCTTGTGTTTATCATCCTAGCTACATTTTCTCCGCTCCCCCAAATAACAATACTAAGGACGAAGTATAATTTTTTTTAAAAGTTTCTGGCCGGTAGGTCTGGACTTAAGCGAGAAAAAATTTAATAAAAGATACCTCTGTACCCTAAGTGCGGGATATGTGTATACTTTCAAAATACTTCCTTAAATTCTGAATTTGATATTTTTCAGAATGAAACTTATGAAGAGATTTTTACCGTAAGCGGAGGATCGTCGTGCAGCGAAAGTGAGGGCGAACCGGAAGCAGATTCCACTCCAGCATCGGAAGGATATACCGGACCGGAAAGACCGGAAGTAAATAGTCAGCTAGTCGGCAGGAACACCTGCCCACCCGGAATCCTTAAAAATCAGGATAAACATGAAATTCTTGTAGACAAGTCTCTCTCGCGGTCAAAATCGTGCGATTCAATTGATCTTATATACAATGCATCCGAAAGCGACAAGGTCAAGAAAGGGCGGCTGAAGGAACACAGAAGAAGAGAGCGGCGTGCTGTTACTCTTAACAACCTCGACTCCAAACAGTTACTGTTAATTTTAGATCTACAGAGAAGGTACCAGGAAGAAACTCGCTTGTTGAAATCTCAGGGAAATCTGAATATTACTCCGACAGGTGCGACACCTAGTACCGAACTTATTGTCCAAAGAAGGGCAGTAACTCCTCAACCTTATAGAAAACCTAATCCAAATACTCTGCCGCGTTCTCATACACCACAACCTGGCCCCGTTAGTGGTTGTAATATTAGAATGGGTGAATTAGCTCGCGATCTACAGAACTGTCTTCGAGATAGAGAATCTGCTACTCAGAATAAAGAACCACAGAGGAAAACAGACGGATCTGAGGACAAGAAACTGGTGCCTCAGAACGACGGTTACGTTCATATGGCTCCGAGACCAAAGTCGCGTCCGTCTGTGCAAAAATACTTTCTTCCACCACAGCCAATACAGAGGTGCAGGTCCACATCTCCATTTACCAACCCACGCCAAAGAAAAACCTCTCCTTCCGAACAACTGCCGTCCCAACCGAAATCGCGAACGCTTGACCCGACGACACTGTTGCCACCCGCGCCCATACAACGAAATGGATCCGCCTTTCAGTTGGTAGGACATCCTGTCGGACCAATGTATAATAAAGGATCCGTCTCTCACGATGTTGTGTTCCGAACACCCGGTGACGTTTTCTGCGAAAATGCAATCCGGGACAATTTTAAACTATATTCAAGTCCATTTCTCCTAAGAAATACGAAGCAAGGGCCTGTTGACTCTGTTTCCGGTTCAACCTTGACCCCGCCTTATTCCGGTCCGCCGTCGTACACGGAATTTCTTTCAAGAACGGATTCTGCTTTGGAATCCGGATCAGAACATATATATGAGACGTATGAAAACATCTCGGAAACAAAGTCATCATCTAGAAAGGTCTCATCTCCGAAACGGAGTCCAAAGAAAACGAGTGAGAATGTTCAAACTACAGAAAGTGAGGACGATGTTTTTCTTCCTGTAAAGGCCTCAACAAGTATCGCAAATTCCTCCCCCTCACAGCCTTATATCCCCGCCTATAACGACTCTAGTCGTAGACGAAAACCAAAGAAACGAAGTGGGCGTCAGAAACAGGCAGCCAATGATATTGCTGTTTTCAATAGTCACGTGTCTCCCTTTAAGACCACAACAGAGTCACCTGATTTTATTCAGCATCAGAGCCCTTCAGAAAATGACAATGTTTATGCAATAAGTGCCAAAGCAAGAACTAAATCGGCAAACACTGACACTGAATGCGAAAGTTCTAGAAAACTTAACACAAACAATTTTTCAAAAATGCCCTGTAATTCAGTCAGCGCATCGGAAGAGAAAGTAGATGGAAAACAGTTGTTAGAGAATGAGACAAGCTGTACAAAGACAGGGAGATATCACACGGGTTATATAATCGGAGTAAGAGGTTATTCCAAACGTATGTCGGAGAGTTCCGGGTGTACATACGAGGATGTGGAAGAATCGTCAATAGGAGTTTCAAGCCAAGCATCTCTAATCTCGAGTAGTGATGAGATAACACGAGAATTCAATAGAGCAATAGACGAGATTCACCCAGGTTTGGGCGATCCGAGGGTTCTGGAGACTATGATTTGACGCATGTGCATTGTTAAGTTCGTATATGATCATACTGTTCAAAATATTTCTTATAATAAATTCCTATATGAACAAATTGATACGAGTAATTATAAGGGGAATCGGGTGTTTAAGGAATAACAAGAACAAAAACCTATTTTGATATTCATTATAGTATACGAATGAATGGGATTGAAAAATACCCGTATGTACATGTAAATGCTTATGAT